TAAAAACGATGGCGAGTCGGACGGCGAGGAGCTGTTGATGACTTACGCGGGAGTGTCTGATGTGGAGCCGACGACGACCCACAATACAATTACTCTGATACCGCAGATGGAGAGGAAAAGGATATCCGTAAGATTGAGCGCAGTTTTTTCGACGAGTTTCGCGGAGTTGTACGGGGCTAAGGAAGACGTGTTCAGTGATGAAGAGGAGGGCGACGGTTACGACCACTACAACGACGGCGCCGATCAGGAGGACTTGCCGTCAGACGAGGAGCTGAGGAATCAGGTCAAGCGGATCCACCAGTAAGTGATCGGCCATAGACTGGAATACTCATTGATGTAATGATTGATTGAATGTGTTTTTTCAGCAAAAAACTCTTAGACGAAGTCAAGTGACAACTGATGGCCTTAAAGGAGATGATGTTCGCGAACCGAGACCTTAATAACGACGACGCCGTCCGGCAGAAGAAAAAGAGGTTTCGCCGAAAGTTCAACGAAAGTGTCGACGTATTCAGTGATATCTTAAGCGAAGACTCGAAAGATTATGTGGACTCGGATGACGAGATGGTCGCCATCAAAGTCTGGCGCTTAAGATGTCGTTTTAGATAAGGGTCGAGTAAGTTTGACTGGGCACAACCAATACGTTATCTACTAAAATATGCCGGAGTAGAGTTCAATGCCATTAAGTAGAAGTACTTGTCGTATATAAAGCCGACACTCATTTGTCGCAAATAATATAACGTCTCATTAATGTTATGAATTTATTTTTTATTTATAGTAAACCAATTAGTAAATGGCGAAAACAAGATATCATTGATTATCTTAAAGAGAAAGACACCATTACCGCAAAAGGCAAAAAGACCTGAATTATATGATTTTATACCCAAATAATAGTTTTAATTATAACGTCGGTCAAATGATTATTAATGAGCGTCATATACCCTTAAGGTTACCCCCATACATGTGTGAAGTAAGATATTTATACTTTTATACCATATGAAAGTTAATACCTTCCTCTATAAAATTGCTATAAACTATATTTACCTTGCTCATTTAGTTTATTCTGTAACCTAAGTCTGCGAGAGTGTCCATAGAAATAACATTAATATTTATTTATTTTATAGTTGAATCATGTTTGGAGAATTCAAGCGAAAAGTCAAACATAAGAACATTAATAACACGTTTATGAATTTATGAATTTATGAATTTATGAATTTAATTACAAAAACATTTAATGATTTACATAATACTGATATCTGTGCAAGTCAAGTTAGACATCAAATCAAAATTGAAGTTAATTGGCTCAACAAAGACGGCGTTCTCGTATCTAATGTTTAAAATTCTTGAGTCAAAGATTTTTATGTAAAATACAGTTTTTTGTTTGAAATCAATTTCTTTATTGTTTTTAAGTTGTATTCAAGATAGAGTTCATTTGATGTCTTGAGGGCTTGCCTTATATATCAGATTTAAAACCAAATTTAGATTTTCCTTAACACTACGATTAAACTTTATAAATGTTTTTTAATTAATTTTTGTATTTAATTAGAAAAATTCTAAACCAGTGTTGAGACAATTTAATGTATAGTATAGTGAATGTTATTTTTCTCCTGTGTTTCAAATCATAACTAATGTCTGTAATAATGACTAATTAATACAATCCAAGTGTTTGCTATTATAAGCAGAAAATTATCATTTTTGATGGTTTTGTTTGCGATTAGTTGTTATCGACACTACAATAACATAATTTGAGACAAACTTAATAAAAGTCATGACATATAATACTTCACTCATATCGCACACCCATATAATTAGCTATTTATCATGTATTTTATTGTTTAATTATTTCTATTTGTTTTATAAAGATTTAAAGAATATTCTCAATGAATACAAAATTATTGTCATATTAATTACTAATGATATAGGTATTAATATTATTTAAAAAGCAACTTCAGTTATTAACCTTTCATAAATTATTTTTATATTTTCAAAACAAAATTAAAACTATTTATAACAATTACTGTATTATTAACTACTTGTTTACACATAAAACATTAAGCACATGTTTATCATGAAATAATTAACCTTTATTTAATTTATATCATATTAAAATATAATTTCCAAAAAATAATAACATTTCCCAACAAATTAATATCATACTTGGTAAATTAACAAACAAATTATATTGACAATTATGAACTTGTAAACGGTTAATTAATTTGTTTACAATTTAAAATTAAACTTGTACATAAGAGTATGTTAAATATATTTTTGACTTTGACAGACTTTGTGATAAATGTGGATTTCTTGCTAATGTTAATTTTGATATAAAACTTTAATAAATAAAAATTTAAAAAGTAACCATTAGTAAATTCTAAGTTTATATAAATAGCTCGAAAATATCTTATTTATTTTAAATCCTTAAAATTGTATTATGATTATTAATTTTTAAATGTTCAAGTTAAAATATGAACGAAGTATTATTAGACTTCAAAGTCCATGGCCTGAGTGTCGAGAGAGTCTGTATTAACAAACACGTGCCAAACGCCAAGACTTTTTTGGAGACCTGGATAACCGATATTTGTGGGAAACCCTATAAGGATATACATGATATGTCCGACTTTGTCACCCTTGCGCTTCCCAATATAAAGGACCATGATGAATTAATGTTATGCATCGATGGATAACATTTCTAATATTTTTAGACGATTTCTTAGAAAAGCAAACATGTAACCAGATCAATTTAGTAGAGTAAGTGAATTACTAGTATTCATTCATGAAACAAATGATAATTTTTATTTTAAATGCTAGAAAGTGGAGACAAAATATTAAAAACGGGTATTCAATCGAAAACAGGTTTCTTGACAAAGTGTTTAATTCAGCAAGGGAGCTTATGGACAATCATATGAGTGCTAAACTAGTACAAATGCAAATTAACTGGTGCATGAAGTACCTTGATATCTATTATACCACTAAAAATTTCAATGATGGTAATAATATTCCTACGCTCGATGAATATTATGAATTTAGGTAAATATCATTATAATTTATAATACACCAGTATATTTAAGTTAATTAAACAAGAAAGTAATTTTACTTATACTTTTATAACTTTCTTGTAAATGTAAAACAAGTTTTAAATTTTATAAATGCAAGTATAATGTTATGATCATATTACTTGCATATAATGAACAAATTAATTTTTATGTCAAAATTTTAATCGAGGAGTATCGACATTGGTTTTGAAACGATGCAAATTTTAATTTATAGCTCCATTAAATTTGACCCAGATCACTATGCCCATATAACCAATACAGATGATTGGAAATTATTTAACCGTTGGTGTTGTCGCCACACATATCTAGTAAATGATATCTATTCGGCTAAAAAAGAGATTCTACATTTTTGTGTGAATTTAATACCCAGTCTAACAGGTAATACAAATGAATAGATACAATGATACAAAAATCTGAAATTAAGCAAATTTTGACAGATATTTTGTCACACGAACTGAGAAATCAATTAAAAGGTGATAATAGTAATTGTGCATGCATATTCCAAGTAAGCAACAGTAAGAAAAATTAAAAACTAATATAAAAAATTAATAAATTGGAGTTGGTGGTGAAAAGTTGGTGAAAATTTACGTATGCATTGGAGGGGGAGTATCGGTTCTGCGTACGACTTGCAACAAGGGGGGAGGGGGTCGATTTTTGGGCCAAATTTTGCGTACGTACTTATTGAATGGCCACTTATAAGTTTTGTTTATTACATTGACCTCATATGAATGCTATTGTCACAGAACCACTTATCTATATGGCTTACCTGCAATACTCTCTGAAAATACAAAATACAGTGTTTAGCAGTAATTTAATTATTTGAAATGTTTTATTACAAAAGATTATGGATTTTAATCTATTTATTAATAATCTTTTAGCTGAAAATTTCGTTAAATTTAGTTTTACTAATTAAATTACTACCAAAGATTGTATTTTCAGAGAGTATTGCAGGTAAGCCATATAGATAAGTGGTTTTGTGACAATAGCATTCATATGAGGTCAATGTAATAAACAAAACTTATAAAATTATTATCAAAAATTGGTTGATCTTATGCACGAAGTAGTATACAAATAATTTGTTTTAAATTTTAAATTGTTATTTTTAGTCATTTATTAATAATTAAGGCCACCTGGATGACAACTTATGGACAGTGTACGTAAATGTTATCAAACCCAATAAATGAGCAACCAGATTTAATCCAATTTACCAGCAACAGATATGCCACTATTGTTAAACACAAAACCACTTTCTATTCATTTGTATTACCTGTTAGACTGGGTATTAAATTCACACAAAAATGAATTAAATATAATACATTGTTTTATAATTTATTTATTATTATAGCTATGTATATGACATCGTGTGACTCACTGGATGACCACAAAAGTGCCGAGACAATATTACTAAAAATTGGACATTTATAATATATCAAATGCAAGAAGACTACCTGGAATGTTTTGGAGACCCTGATACAATTGGCAAGATTGAGACAGACATACAGGAGGGCAAGTGTTGTTGGCCTATAGTTAAGGCATTGGAAATGTGTGATCAGAATCAGAGGCAAATCCTTGACAGAAATTATGGCATAAATGATGAGAAATGTGTTGCAATTGTTAAAGAAAATAATGAATTAAATTTAAGAGATATTTATAAATTAGATGAAAATTTATTTTTCTATGGAAGCATGCTCATTGATAATACAGAATTTAGACATGAAATTAGTTCCAAAATATTCTACAATTTATTAAATCAAATTTTTAAAAGACAGAAATAAATGCAGGTACATAAAATAAAATTTAATTTAATTTAAGTTAACATATATTTTATTTAGAGAAATAAATAATTTTTTTTATTAATAATAATTTAATCTATGATTTTAAATGTTTAGATTACATTTTATATAATATTATTTAATAAATTATAATATTTAAATTAATCATTTTAACTTATTGTTTCTGGATTAACTTAATATTAAATTTTATCGGGCTTTGTATAAATAAAATACCTGGATCAGCATCTAATGAAGTAGTATTTTTATTAAGCAATAAAATTTCATAATCACGGGTCAGTTGAATAAATCTGACCAGGATTAAAAACAGGTTATTTATTGCTAGTTGTTCACCAGGGCAAATGCGACGTCCAGTACCAAATGGTATATATGCCGGCGGTTTAAGTGTATCAAATTTTCCATGAATATTTAAAAAACGCTCAGGGTTAAATTCATCAGCATTTGTCCAGTGTTTTTCATCTGTTAAAATATACCCTTGATGACCTATTACACATGTTTTCTCTGGAATAGAATATTTGTCACCTAATATGATAATTAAATAAAATTATTAAACAAAGTTAGATTTTATTGTGTAAGCGCGTACTAAAAATTTCTTGTTAGAAACTTGAATAACTTTTAATTATAATTGCTAGACTTAATATGTAAAAATATTATTAACATATACAGTATTTAACATGTAGTACTTATGACTAGAATCAAATTTTTATAAAATTTATAGTAATTGAATAATGGAATTAACGCAAAGGTTATAGGTATAAGTCAGCTTAGAGGTCATGGGTCAAATTTGTTTAGTGCATCTGAAAGGCAAATATACAAACTAATATAAAGCAAATTTTTATAAAATCTGATTGTTAATAGCGAATGTGGGAAACAAAATGTAAGGTATGATTTCCCTTAATAATGACAAAAACATTTATTACAATATATTAGAAAAATAACTATGAATATTATGTAAATTCATGACATTTTATAATAACAATATTAATTAATTAATTTTTACAATTTATTGTCATTAGTATGGAAAATCGTATATTACACTTTTGTATCACAAGCATTATTAGAAATAAGATTTTTAAAACCAAATATGGCTTAAATAAGAGTTTGTTTTTTGAGCATTAAGATCTACTCAACCATTTTGACAAATAATCTTCGAGTTAAACTGTAGCTATAGTTAAGACCTTTACGTTCATTCCATTATTTCTATTGTAATTTTTTTTAAAAATTAACAGTAATTAAAGTATGTGTTAAATAGATGTTAATAAAATTTCTTACATATTAAGTCTATACCTTATAATAAATTGTTATTCAAGTTTCCGGTAAGAGTTTTTTAGCATACTCTAATATGAATATACTGTACTTAATCTGGTTGATTGTATAGCGCAATGAAATAGGCCCAATGGTGCGGCATTTCTATACCGTAATGTCTCGTATATAAACGCCATCACATTATCCAAATGACCTTTGTCACTTATTGTCGCAATACGATCATTAAGTTTTCCAGAAATATCATCGCGTAACTTTTGTTGAATACCCGGGTAATGTGCCATTAATAATATCATCCATTGAAATGTGGTGCTTGATGTTTCTACTGCAGCTATGGATTAAAATTTAATATTCAATAGAAACTTATTTTTAAAAGTAACTACTTAAAAACAATTCGACCATAACCGAGGTTAGATTTTCATCCGTATAATACTGGGCCGACTCCCTGTCTTTATTACTGGCGTCCAGTTTAGTAGCAATGAGTACATCACAAAAGTCTCGGTTTATGTCCTTATCGTATGTATTCTCATGTTTTTTGTATATATTTTTCGTGTAGTCTATCATTTCTTTGAAATATCCTTTGAATAAATCCAAAGGATTTTTCATAAATAAACGCAAAACAGGTATGAATTCATGTAAATATATTCGGTTTCCTTGCTCCTCTAAGAAATCAGTTGAACAATATTTAAACTTTTGTAAATTCTGTTCGTCAAACCTGGTTAATAAACATCACAAATTATTCAATAAAAATTTCTATAATTATTTTTAATTGTAATTTAATAAATAAAAATATATACTTTTCACTGAATATAGTGGAGCCCAATATATTTGCAAACAACAAACCTGGTTAATAAACATCACAAATTATTCAATAAAAATTTCTATAATTATTTTTAATTGTAATTTAATAAATAAAAATATATACTTTTCACTGAATATAGTGGAGCCCAATATATTTGCAAACAAGTTGTAAATATAGAGATTAGTTGTAAACGGTTTACCGAAACCCTCTCTACTGATCATAAGTGCAATCATTTCCTTTACACTCGAGTCCACTATTTTCGATAAATTATCACTTTTTGCATATTTCCTAAAATATAATATAATATTTAGTTTAAAATTTCATTTAGTGTTATAAACAAATCTTACAATTAAGCAAAATAAATTCAGTAAAACTCACTTTATTGTAATATGGGCGACTTGCCGTAAACTGTTCCAACTTTTTATATTTCTATTCATTGCTATATCCTGGTGATTTTCATTACATACAATATTGCCTGTTAATTTATATATAAAATTAAATACCAATTTAACTCAACAAAACGTATTAATTAAAAAATATTGTTTTTATTTATTGCATGTACGATAAACAGTAATTAAAATATAAATATTATTTATAGTAATAAATTACCAATCTGTGACTCCGGTCGACCAGCTAATTCCCATTTGCCGAATGCCTCCCTGGCCAAATCAGGGTCACCAATAAACACAAATGGGAAAGGTCCTATCCATACGGTAATCACTGGGCCGTAGATTTTATGCAATTTTATTATTTCTATATTCCAGTGTTTTTTATAATTTTTAAATACTATTTATCAAAAATAAATATAAAAATATTTTCATTAAAATGTTAAATTATTTACTAAAATATATATTTACGCAAAACATTTCCAATGAATGGTAGTGGTAGTGGACCGGGAGGGAAGTCATGCAAACGCATATAAAATCGTGTTAAATAACAAACACTGATAAAAATTAATATACTACTTGTATAATTATCACATAGATAACTTTCCATTGTAGTAAAAGAAATCATTATAAGAATTTTATTATAAACTTTATTTTAGTTAAATAATATACTTATCTTAGATAGATAAGTTATCTAACTCACAATAATTATATATATATTATATATAAATCAAAATTTAAACTAAAAATAAAAGCTTTTATTAACTTTTTTAATACTAAAAACATTTAATAAATTCAACACACTTTACATCTGTTATTAAAAACTAATTTCTAATTAGTTTGAGAGTTTATTGACTTTTTAAAGATCTATTTATGTTACAAGTGTATTTTATGAAATATTAAAACTATTAAAGACGCCTTATGAAAATACTATAAAAATTAATTTTAAATATTAACACTAATGTTATATAATTGAAAGAATTTTTAAAATATAGAATTTTTTAAAACGAAAGAATTTTTCATTAAATTATAATCGTAAAATTATATTTAAAGTTCTTCAAACATTGGTAAAGTAATTTTTAAATAAAACTAATTAATTTTAATTTTTAATATTTCAATTTGAATTTTCTTGGTAATAACAGCATAAAAATTAATTTTCAGAATAATACTTAGAATTTAGTAGTAGTAGGTCAGTATATAGTTTTTATGCTTTGATTACTAAGTTCTAAGATTCAGTGAATAAACTACATTATAGTTAATTTTTATATTAGTGTACTGTAAAAATAAAAGTTATCAAAATTTAGTATATCTGTTTATTGATTAATCTAATAAATATGTACTAAAACTATTCATATAAATATTGATAAACTAACTTTGAAAATTTTTTATATTTAATAAATAAAATACATCAATACAGTACATAAAAATTAATTTTAACAGAGATCAATGCAATGGAACCACACATGGAAGAGATTCAACTTGAATATTTCACGCTACATGAGTCTCAATATCTGGACACTGATGATTTATACCGGTCATTTCGAGAGTTTATTTACGAATTTGATTTATCAAGTGATTCCGAATACGATACATACGCATGGCCAAATATAATGAACGAGCTGCCCGATCTAGTACGATTTTGTTACCCCAGTTCGAAGTCTCTACATCGTATGACGATTACGACTGCGCTATTTTTATGGATATTCAAAAGCGACAGTTACTTTAATTCGGACTACAGGTGCAATCAATTTCTGAAGTACGTGGATAACTTCGGTAATATAGAACCGGTAGGTGTCAATCATAGGTTATTTGCCAAAATCTGGTCCCATTTGAAGGTAGAACTGAGCCCATTCATATCCAAAAAGTTATTGCAAAATATATGCAATTTTGCGCAATCAACGACCAAAGAAAATTTGTTGAGTGACGATTACATTGCCGAAATGAGCATGCTTACCTGCAAACAGTATTGGGACGTTCGGTACATGTCGTGGTGCGGCCATGTTATGTTACTAATGCAGGACTATGTGGTTATTGGTTCAATCACTGAACCCGATTACAATCGCCCTTTAATGGCGGACCTGATAAAGTATTTTATGCGTTTTTCTTTCTTGGTTAATGACTTGTATTCGTATGAAAAAGAACATGCTGTTAATGGGGGCATCATGAATTTTATAAGCGTTGTACTGCGTGACAAAAAGCTAGATACATTGGGTAAAGCCAGGAAAGTTATTCACGCAAAAATAAGTAAATACCAACGAATAATGTTTGATTGTACCAACCAAATCCGCGAACAAGCACATTTATATAAAAGTGTTAGCAATGAGTTTTTAGATTTGATTGGTCACAATTTGTATGCACAAATTGTGATCAATGCTCATTCTAAAAGATATAAGTAAATTTTATACAATTTCAAAGAAGACTGTCAGGATCCTGCTAAACTGGCACTCGGGATTTTTTGATTGGATATGAAAGTCCATTCAATGCTGAGTCAGAATATGTAATTTATATTGTCCTGTGACCTCTGGTTCGGCCGCAGTGACCACTTTAATCGGGAAATTTTTATATAAAATGTCAACATGTGATATATCAATTTTATAGAGAATTTTACGTAGAATTTGATGATATTAATTAAATTAATAAATAACGTCATTTTCACCCGAAAATTGTTAGATAATCGCTTNCTGTATTTTAATGATAACTTTTCCAATATTGCGACCCAAATGCAAATGCTTTATAAATAAAACAATGAAATAATTTAACAATTTTGTAATTAAATGAATCCTGTCTTCAAATACCTCAACCCCTCTGACGACTGAATCAATTCCAGTGAATTCTCCTTCACTTGTGTTTTGTCCCAAATCTAACACAACTCGCAGTTTATTGTTCACAACGTCTCCAATCAATTGTTTCAAATATTTGGCGTATAAATCCTTGTAGTCGGGTAGACAAAACCCTGATAGAGTCTTAGAGCCTGTTATTAACTTAATAATAATTAACAATTAGAATAATTATAGATAAATGTATAAAATATATAATACAAAAACTAAAACCAACTTTAAAGTTAAGGTTTTCAATGGTAGGCGATGTTATTCTTTCAGACTTATATCCACTAATAGAGCCAACAATTATTAATCTACCCTTTGGTACCAAATGATTTAATAGAGTTTCAAATACTTGTCCACCAATTGTCTCCCAAACAACGTCCACTCCATTCTATGTAATCAATTTAAATAATAATAATTTAGAGCAAAAACTTTATATTAAAAGTGTGTTAAACCGGAAACTCTTTAGTGAGCACTTCATCCAAATTCTCGGTCTTATAATTGATCACTCGATCGGTTCCCAACTCTTTCAACAGTTTTGCCTTATCTTCAGATGAAGTCAACCCAATAACATAAGCGCCCTTTTGTTTAGCCCATTGGATGCCAATATGTCCCGTTCCTCCTGCAGAAGCTGTAATCAACACTTTATCTCCTTTTTGAATGCGACCCAACTTTTTGTGAATTATTATAAATTAGTAACATTTCAAATAATTTTACAGTAATTAATACCTCATCCAATCCAATAGCTGCTGTTAAACCCGCGATTAATAATCCAAGAAATTCTGGTTTAAGACTCGGAATTGGTATCACTTCTTCTGGTTTTACATACTATTCATTAATAAATAAAAATTAAATTTAATATATTAAATAAAAATAGAAATTATTTGTAAATCTCATAATTACTAACCAAATATTCTGAATAAGCCCTGGGAGGATTGACACCAAGATTGACATCAAATGTCATTACATTCTGTCCTACTTTATGAGTGGTTACATTCTTGCCAACTGCTTCGATAACACCCAGACCCTTTACAATAATTATATGAAATTATAATTGTCAATAAAAACAATGACTGATTGAATGGACACATACTTCTAGTCCCACATCGAAAGGCAACTCTGCGTTTGGGTTATATCTGGAAGCAGTTACGTTCACATCAGTGGCGTTAACACCGGCGTAGATATTCTTGATGAGCACCTGATCATCACCCGGTGCTACCAGAGGGACAGACACCACTTTGACAGCTTCTCGAAAATTGGATGTTTTCTTAATCACAGATAACTTTTGAAATGTTTTAGACATTTTGATATTTTATGTTAACAACAATAATAATTAAAAGTAAATGTCCAAATATTATACGGTGCTGTTTATATAGTTTCAAACCGTTATAGAGTTGTGATATAAAATAGCACTTATAAAGTATATAAAGTACTTACTGTCCTTCAACTTGAATTTCATCGCATATACAGTGAAATTCACTGAGTGAATGGATCTTGGTTCTTGATAACTGTTTGTACTCTTTACACTTACAAGTTGCAACCTGTAAGAAAACTGTCAGAATCCTGCTAAGCTGGCAATCGGGATTTTTTGGTTGGATATGAAAGTTCATTTAATGCTGAGTCCGATTATGTAATTTATATTGTCCTGTGACCTCTGGTTCGACCGCAGTATAATTTATATTGTCCTGTGACCTCTGGTTCGGCCGCAGTGACCACTTTAATCGGGAAATATTTTATATAAAATGTCAGCATGTGATATATCAATTTTATAGAGAATTTTACATAGAATTCGATGATATTAATTTAATTAATTAATAACATCATTTTCACTCGAAAATTGTTAGATAATCGCTTAAAAATCTTTAAAATCGCGTTATATTTGTTAAATATTAATGTTTCACAATTGTTACTTAAATAAATAAGTTCCTTATAAAATTCTCCACAAAATTAATATATCACATGTTTATATTTATTATTATAAAATAAACTGATAAAAGTGGGCATTGAGGTCAAATAAGGTAATATTTGTAAAGCTGGCAATTTGGGTTCTACAATTTAATATAAAAGTACTCTTTATAAGAAGTCATAAAATATTATTTAGTTTGTTCTGGGACTTCCGGTTCGGCCTGACTGACCACTTTTATCGGTATATTTTATCATAATAAATATAAATATGTTATATATTAATTTTGTGGAGAACTTTATAAGGAACTTATTTATTTAAGTAACAATTGTGAAACATTAATATTTAACAAATATAACGCAATTTTAAAGATTTTAAAGCGATTATCTAACAATTTTCGGGTGAAAATGACGTTATTTATTAATTTAATTAATATCATCGTATTCTACGTAATATTCTGTATAAAATTGATATATCACATATTGACATTTTATATAAAAAATTTCCCGATTAAAGTGGTCACTGCGGCCGAACCATAGGTCACAGGACAATATAAATTACATAATCGGACTCAGCATTAAATGAACTTTCATATCCAACCAAAAAATCCCGATTCCCAGCTTAGCCAGATCCTGACAGTCTTCTTTGTCTTTCATATTATTTCGTCTCATATACTTATAAATAATATAAATTGATTGGATCTCAAAAAGGCATTCCACTATTATTTATGCCGGGTATTTCTCACCAATCTCGGCATTTCTAATTTCTCGACATACGGGTGCCGTTTGATCCCACGTTGAGTATGCCTTTTTGCACCATTAGATCCCGTACTGCGATTGCATTTAATAATATTTTCACAATTAATACATTTAATGAAATCTGTGTTCACATTATTATAAACAATACGTTTAAATGTCTTAAAACACTCAAATTTTGAGTCAATAATCAATTTTATTGAATCATCATTTTCATTGATTAGTTTCGCATACATTTGTTTGTCATTTTGATTATCATTATGTGTATTACTTACACAATCAACTAAATCACTGGTTTTAAGTTTTTTTGAACTCATTTTTTAATGACTTACAGCATTTAATACTAAACACAATCAACTGTTTTTAATCACATTGAAAGCATGCGGACTCTCCTAAAAGACCTAAAACCGAAAAGACCTAAACTCAAATAACTAACTGACCAGTGGTCATTTGACTTAAATTAGGTTAGGGTAAGTTAGATGAGGTTAGGACAAATCTATTCAACTCATCAAATTTAAAATACAACCATTGGTCAGTTAGTTATATTGGTTTAGGTCTTTTCGGTTTTAGGTCTTTTGGGGTACAACCGAAAGCATGCCTTCAATTCAAATAAAATATTTTTTAAAACATTTACTGTTTATGCGTTGAGGCATACACTTAAATGTTGATGCAATAAGTGCCGGCCTATCACTCGCTCAAAAAGTCATGCTTTGGTTTATACATACTTTTTGCTGTATACAGTATGTGCGGGAGTCAATTTGGGTCCTCCACTCCCGCGCTTCCTTTGCGGGATTTCCACTCCTGCGCCTCACTCCATACAGTGTACTCCCACTCCCGAATTCGGGAGTAGGTCCCGCTTAAAAACCCACTCCCGCGGGACCATTTCTTCGCCTGTTAGTTGGCATTGGAATCGGTGGTCACAAAGTGTGCAAACATTACATCCATTCATATTGACATTCGTTCAGAAGAGACGCAAAGAGTGTTTGAAAGACTAATGGATTCATACAAACACTCATTCATTGCAATCCATGTCTGGTTTGAGGTATGAGTTGACAATCAGACAATGAACACAATTTTTGGCAAATATGGCCCACAATTGACGGCAATATGTGGGTTATATTCAGAGGGTTTCGATTTGATTAGATCTCACGCAAAGTCGTTTACAAAACTTACACAACTGTCCGATAATTACTGTTTGGGACTGTTGTCAACGATTGTCACCGAAAACAATGAGATATTATTCAAGAATTTAACTAAATTTGACTTATACTACACCCGTCGTGATTGGCAGCGATTGACAGCATTTGTTGATTACTATAAGAATAGTTCAAAGTCTTTAAAACTTGGTTTAAATAACCTTAACATAGATGCATATATTCGTGTACTGAAACTCATACCACAAATGAAAGCATTACGAGAATTAAGTCTTGAAATGGGTGCGGATAATGAAAATATTCTTAAGTCTATCGTTGACTATCATTGCGAAAAGTTTGTCAATCAATGGCCACAACTCAAGAGATATCGATTGGATATGTGTTATCTAACTGATCCTCAAATGAGACGATTGTATGAATCGGCGAAACGTATAAAAGACTTACGAAGAATAAAGTTAAGACTGTGGACATCGTATGCGAACGAAGTACTGGCCATTGAATTGTCACCGAAATCATTGTCACCACTGAAACGGTTAACTCATTTGGAGTTAGGATTATATAACTATGTATTGAATGAGACATTCTTAGACTCAATTCACACACATTTACCACACCTTCAGAGTCTGAAGATTTACACCAAATTAGAGATAACATCCACTATTGAGGCGATGGTCAAGAAGTTACCGAAACTTAAATGTTTTGCATTTCATCACAAGTATGAGTCCAATGACGGGAATGACTAGGGCTGCCAAACCTCCCGGTTTGACCGGGAGTCTCCCGGAATTGGGGTATGTCTCCCGTCTCCCGGTTGACTGTCTCTACCTTGAGATTGATTTCTCCCGGGCAAACACTCAGACATTTATAGTCAAATTAATGTTGCGATTTAATAAAAAATATATGTAAAACATAACATTTAAATAAAAATAAGGATTATATAATTGTAAAATGATGAATTTTAAAATTATTTTCCCCTTCAATATGTTTATTAATTTAAATAGTGATTAATTAAAATGTAATTATTTATAAAGAACACTTTTCTGAACATAATTTCTGAGAATATTTATATATTTATATTGTTGAGAACTATTTTTATATTAAAAATGTTACAATTTAAAATAAGTTAATTATAAGTTAATTATACTTATTACGGAAATGAATTTTTAATTTCCAGTTTTTACTAACATTTTCCAGTTTTTGTCAGTTTTCACATTAGAGTAAAATTTTTATTCAAAACTCATAATATCATTGCATTAATTTAAATAATACTATATGGTATTATTAGTATACAATAAATTATTATTAGTAGTATAATCTTTATAATTAAAAGCAAACAAAATTTATAATTTATACTGTATTTTAAAAGCAAATGTTACATTATATTAAGAATGATAATTTTTAATAAAGGCACCGTAATTTATTCATTCAACCATTAATATAATTAACATTGATCTTATCAAAATTACCATGGACATTTTCATAATGAATACTAATTTTATTGTAATCAACATTGATCTCATCGTATTTATCGTCATTCAAATTGATGTCGTCGTAACCCAACTCTAAAGCATTTTCTTTGTTAATCCGTTTTAATCTCTTATGTCTAATACACACAAAGATCACGATTATAACCAAAATCGATACAATACTTATTATTGCGATAATTATGAGCTTCAATGGACCCGAAAGAAAAGTTTCTGTTTTTCAACTCATTATTGGATTTATTTTAGACACAATATCCGCACAAATCTCTGTCGCACTTTTAGGACTATCACTCAATTCACCTATCATGTTCACCATACTCATATTTGTCCAATAATAAATACGCCAATAATCAATGATAAGCGCAGGGCACTTTGGACCCTTAAAATCGAAATCATCCGATTTCGTATGGACAGTATTATTCACGAAAACGCCCATCTCAACATATGTCGATTTATTACCAATAACACCTAGCTCACTAGCAGATTCATTGCCAGGTCTTGCGATGGTCATAAGATTAATCTCATCGAAACTATACTCCAGATAAGTGGCATTCCATTCTACACCATACTTGTGAAATTGATGCAAATTGAGCGTGGTGTAATACTTGTTTATAACTTGCGCCAGGGTCTGTTCCTGTGCCGGTGACAACATAAACTTGTCGGATAAGTCATCGGCTTTGAAACTATGCGCTCCACTTATATTTCCAAGGGTGTTAGCATGGTCATGCTCATACGTAGACGATAGAAATGCATTAATGGACAAACCACCACCATCCCGGTTGGAATTGAGATAGGCTGGGGCACAGTCCTATAAAAAACACACTAGCCAATCGTGGACAGGGTGCCTTTTGTACACGAGTATGAGACACACCATCACTGGCTAGCCAGCGTGTTATTCATGCTTTGACAGCAGAGAATCTTTAAACAAAAAATTGCAGCTCAGTGTTGCACCCAGGGGTTTTTTGGACCGATTATAATTATCATAATAGTACAACCATGATATACATACC